CCACCCACCCTGTGATCTGGATTGTTGCCTGTGTTTGCAGTCCAACGTAGTTCATTTTAATGCAGCCAAGTCAAAAGTAATGCTGCTGAGCAAGAAGATGGCTTACAATATTAAGCTCTGAAAGACTGTATTCAGGCAAGCAGTGGTGCAGAGAAGGACCTGAGCATTGCGGATTACTATAATGAGTATCTTGATATGAGTTTCTGGTACAGTGCACTGTTCAAAGAAGTGAATATTGATGAATTAAAATGGCAACATGCAGAAAAAAAGAGGGAGATGGTCTGGCTTTCTATACATGCCCTAGTACACTTGTTGTGCACAGGTGGGAGCTCAAAGGCAGGAAGCAAAAATAATCACAGCACTAAAAACAAACAAAGAAACCAACAACAGCCTGGGTTGAGAAGCTCTATCTTTCCATTTAGCAGCACAGAGGTTGAGAAGTGTCATGTCTATATAAAAATACCTATATATAAATAGATACATAGTGCATATGCAAATATATATACAGATGCAGAAGAGATCTGGTGGTTTAATGAGAACCAACGGGGAATCAGGCAGATTCAACCTTGAAGTCAGAAACAGTACTGTAGTTAAATTAGCAGTAAAACTTTAGGAGAAGAGAGCTGGTGGAATCTTTTATAATCTTTTAAGATAAAATTAGGTATTACTTTTTGTAAGATGTATTTTAGTCAAACTTCTGGGAACAATTCAATGGGTTATATAGAGAGATTATAGCTGAGTGACTGCAGTAGTCACTTCAGGCTCTAAAATATGTAAATCCAAAAACTATTAAAAACCCCACATATGCAGATATATTTCAGAAGGACAAGTTTAATGTCTGTTACAGAGACCATTGTTGTCTCCCAGTTAGCATGGCTTAATTACATTTTATTGTTACCATATATTGTTAATATAGACAGTAGCTTAAATATTGTGTGTGCAGAGATCCTCGGTTTCAATTTCATATGTACATGGGGTTTACTTGGATGGTTCCACATATTGGTAATAGAAGAGCAGGTGTTCCCTGTGAGCTAATTGGGAATTCACTTATCCTGTTTTTATATAGCTAATATATTAAGCTTCCCTGCATGTATGTTTGTTTTCATTTCAGGCTCCATTCAGGAAAACTATTACTGATAAAAATCTTTGTTTCAAACAGCACAGTGTAGGAGCGCTGAGCTGAAATTGAATTTGTGAAGTGTTTCTGTTACAGCCTCGTCATCTTTATAGTGCTCCAGAGAGGGACAAGGAGAGGACTTTTCAAAACATTTATACCTGACTTCAGAGTTAAGCCTCCTAGTACTTTCTTTTCTAAACGTTATTTCAGATATAAACGTGGTGACAAAATCAAAGCTTTCTTGAAGCTTGTTGCTTTTAACTGTATATTAATCGTTTCGTAGTTCTGCATTGCCAGGTACTAGTCATCAGATCTGTTCAGAACTTGCAGCTCATTCTTTGTGGAGGTATCAGAGCAGCCTTCCCTATTTTCTTGTTTGTTTTTAATGAGTTGACATTGGCTTGTAATTGCCTGGAAAATTTTTTGTCTTGTTTCTGGTCAGAGTTGAGCCTGACAGACACACTGACAAGGAGCTTAGAGGCTTCTGGGCATCTCCAGTTTATCATTTTGGCATTTCCAACTTCAGATTCAATGCCAGTGGGTAGATTTTACTGATTGTTAAATTGGTTTCTGGCACTTGGGTGTTCAAATTCTGCATAGCAGGGGAGCAGTGATGTACTTTTCTACACCCAGTTTGGTGTGTGCTTCTGAAAGGGACGGTCATGGAGGACAGTGTGCAGATGTCTTTGAGGACATAATAGGGGAGATCTGTCATGATACAACCTTCTAGAATATTGAAGTTCTGGTTTGCTTTACAAGAATATCATCTGGGCTTGGAGGCATTCCTCATCAGTGGAAGACGGAAGTTTGTATTGATCAATAGTCATTTGTGTTGGCTGTGGGAGAGGAATCATCAGGGACTGTATACGCAGGTTGGCAGGGATGTCCTTTCGCTTGATGATCCAAAAGAGGTCAGAAGAGAAATGATTCAGCTCTCCAGGTGAAGGAATTTTGGCATGCTGCTTGGGCCCAGGGATAAATACTAAATAGCTACCTTATGCCTATCTGAGAAAAATTATTCTTTCCAGATTTGATGTAGTGTATTCCCATCTTTGTGTGGTGGCTGTCAAAGTCTCTAATGTACAGCTGGGCAGTTCATGCATGGAAGAACTTGTTGCCTTCGGTTCGCCCTTAGAGGCTTATAAACATTAGCCACCCAGAGGCTACTGATTTAGGTAAGCATGCTATAAATTGACACTGCATGTAAATGAGCTATCATACTGTGTTGTGGTGATTAATGTAACTGTAATGGCACACATTATCTTTTAAAATTATGATAACCTGGGGAAATCACTTAAAGATAACCTGTTCTGTGTGTTCTTCTCAGGAGAATATCTGCATTTTGGCTCCATGTATCTTATCTCTACTCCTAATGCAAAAAAGAAAATTAAAGAGAGCAAACTGTATACTAGGACCATATTCTAACTTACATTGCTTTTACTCCTGTGTGTTAATTTTCTCATGCAAAAACCCTGCTTTTGAATTGCCTTGAGACTGGCCTTTTTTTAATAGGCACTATCCAGAAATCATACTGGTTTTGTTGCAAGCTCAAGATTCAGGTGTCGGTGCTGGCACTTAACTAATTGTGGCTGAACCCTTCATACTTCTGTAATGCTGTTAAGGCCCTGGCACTAACTGTTTGAGGCTTGGTTTGACTTAATTTAAACCTTACAGGAATTTGTCTTAGTTTAGCTTTTCATTCTGAAAGTATGTACTTTTCCTTGCAGGTTTTGCTTGTGCCATAAGTCAATATTTGTTCCAGTTTCTAAGCGCAACAGCTGATGAATACTTACGTTTTTTCTGATCTGTTGGTACAAGTTTCATTAATTTATGAATGGTTAAATTTGGAGAAAAATTTCTTTCTTGTTTCAAATGAAGTTTAAAGCAGAAAAAAAAATACAGCTGTGGAATGCCTTTGGTTTTGCTAGTTCCCTACTTTGGTCCAAATCCTGAGAAAGCTGGGATTTTTGAATGTGAAGCATTAACAAAAAATGCTTCAGTAAGTTTGCAGAATCCCAGATGTTTGGATCCAAGGCACCAATAGGTACATTTCCCCCTTTTTACTTGGGAATCCTTTGGGCTGTGTCTACCCTCTTTTGCCCTGTGCTCTAACACAGAAACAACTCTGTCCTGCTAATTCTGATACCTTTCCTCCTCTCCCTGCTTTTTCCTATTGGGGTAGTAGAAGGAGCAGCTCAGGAATCCTTGAGGAGAGGCAAACTATAAGGTGTGTATTCCTGGAATAGTTATTTGACTTTTCCTCATGAGACTAGAAAAGTCTTTTCATGGAGGGGCTCTTGAGAGAAGTGAATGAGTCAGGGGAAGAGGATGAAGGGAGAAAAAGATTATGTCCTAATAAATGCTAGTAATCACTTGGCAGGTATGCATACAGGGCAAGTAGAGTTCAGTATCTATCAACACTGGCTATGGTAAGTGCTGTGTCTGTTAAGAAAGCCATACAACTTGAAAACATGAGATTTACATATACAGTGAAGGCTTTTGTAAAAGTATGTTTTACTGTAATTGTAGTGAAATACACCCTCTTGTGGCAAGAAGAAAAACGTCCAAGCAGAAACCCGTGTGACCTTTTTTCTATGCTCACTGGTTTGCCTTACTTCCTCTTCTTTTGTCTTTCCATTGTGTTCAGTGAATATTCCTCACTGGTATGCACCACATGTGCTTTCCTATAGTTTTCTGTTGTTTCATCTTTCTGTTATGCAGTACCTGAACCTGTTCTGTTTGTCTTTCAAATTCTAAAACTTCACTCTGTTTCAGTCTGGTTTTATCAATATTTGAATTGTGTTTAAACTCTTGGCTTTAAAGTGCCCTTTCTTACTAAGTTGCCAACATATTGAAAATATGCCTTACAGACTAAGTTTAAAACATTTACAGGAGTAAAAGGCTGAAAAAATAAATAAGGATGTTGAAGAACATACTAGTTTTGTTTCTTAAATAGCTTAGTTTGAACTACTATGAATGGGTCATGTATAGACAGGATTAGGAGATAACATGCTGCTTTTCCCAGCTGTTTGATTAACCAGCTTAGAGATGGGTCAAATGCAGTAGCAGGGTGCAAAGAAGGCACAACATTACCTTCAAAGTGCAGAAAAGGCCCTACAGCATTGTTTGAAGTTTATCAGATTTGCTGTATAATAAGCTGTACACTCCATTCAGCACTATAATTAACCCAGGAAAGCACTGCGGTTCAGTCTTTGCTGATAGCATGAACCTCACAAAGCCAAGCAGTCTCAGCAAAATACCTCTAAATAAGATTAAGCAAAGCGAACCAACCATGAAATAAAATGTAGGCTAAGTGTCGAGCAAATACTATTTCTTGTTTGCATCTAGTACCAAGTGCTGTACTTGGCATGAGGTGTCCAGGCATATAGTGTGTGAATAGCACTGGCAACTCTTAACAAGTGCTGACAGATGAGACCTTAAGCAGATATCATTAATGTTTTCCCTGTGCAAAGGGAAATAACCAAGTGTTGTATGAAAACACTTGTAAATGCATGTTGTTGGCATTTCCCACAACTCCTAAACAGTCATGGCTCTCAGCCCATTGATGCCCAGTAGGGTGGGAATTACATGTTGGTGGGCTCATCTGGAATATGGTGGACAGAAACGGTGGCAGACTGGGTAATGCTGGGATATCAGTTGAAAGAAGAAACAAAAAGACGTGGAGAAGGGAAAGCCAAGGCTGGTGGCATATTTGTAAAGTGAAAGGTTCCTTAGACCTGTGCTGTTGCTGAAGAACTTAGACAGCAGGCAAAAGGCATACTGCTTATGTGATGGAGGATTCAGTAGGTATAGACATAGAGGGTCCTGAAATCTAGTACCTGTTTGAAAAACAGATCTCATCATGCTTTCTTTCACCTTTCAGGTATCTTGCAATATCTTCAGAACTCTCCCACCTAGTGACAGCAATGAATTTGATCCAGAAGAAGATGAGCCCACCTTGGAGGCATCATGGCCACATTTACAGGTTTTTGATCATTTATCTCAGAATAAATGCTTATCATTGCTTAATGCATCTAATAATTTTCTTAGCTTTTTTTAACCTGTGAATCAGAACTTGTCTGTGAGACACTAACATTTACTAATACTGTTCATGGCTATAATATAGTACCTACAAAGACTTTGTGAAATTTGCAAAATGTTAAAGCTCTCTTCCAAAATTATATTGATGGTGTCCCTCAAGTTCCTCTTTTCCATCATTGATTTAAAAATTATTTTGCTTTCCAAACTGCTCTGATGTACAAGTGTTTTTCAGCAACTTCAGCAAGAGCATTGTGGGGATGATACTGCTAGCAGTTTTGCTTTACCGAGGGTAGTTAATTTTCATACAAAAGTACACAGGTGTTGGCAGCTGATCAGAAAAATGAATGAGAAGCTACATCCCTATCTAAGTCTTCCTTCCTATCCCTGGGTCGAGGTTTGCTTTCAGGTGTTTATAGCAGGATGCATGCTCACTGCTGTGTATCATCCCTTCCTCTGTACCTCAAGTGTCAACACAAAGTATTTTGAACAAAGAACATAAACTAATTTTGGAGAAAGCATCATTGGTGCTAATGCAGTAAATTCCTTTATAGAAAATATAGATGCAGATCCTGTCCGTGATAGTCAGGACAATGACTTATACCACTAGTAAATTTAGAAGAAGTTTGCCCGAGTAACAGTTCATGGAGTGAGCAAAGGAGCACAATTGATCTCAGCATGAAATGAGGATTTTATTTGACAGTTGCATGCACGGTCATTGCATGTGAGCACTTTGTTTCACTCTTTGTGCTCTCAAATTCAGAATCTGTTGAAATGTAGGTTTCATCCCTCATTTATATTTAAATTTCACAAAAAATAAGGATCTTAAAAGCTTCAAGGCAGTTCTGAACAGCTCTGCCTGCCTGGGAACAGCACAGGCATACATGTCTGTTATCTTATGTTTGTTGACACTAGTGCTGTAGTTTTAAAAGTCATTACTTACATGGAAGTGATCGAATTTCTTAGCCAGAGGAATCATTACCATTGTCAGGAAGAAATGCACCAAAGTATTTGTCAGGAGTTGATGGAATTGATTTCCTGGTGATTTAATATTAGTTATGTAAGCTGTCACTTTTCCCATGTCATATTTCTAAACTTCTCTCCCCCTTTTTGATTTCCTGTTGCTTCCTTTTAGAAGTCAGAGAACACTGACATAAAGCAGCAGCAGCAGTATTGCAACACTGGTGTCTGCATGGCAAAGTTTAAAATTATTTTAAAATGTAATTTTTAGCTTCCTTTCTCCTTTCAGTATCAATATTCATGCTCACTGAAGTCGGAAAGGAACGAGTTTTCAATGGCTGCTGCTCTTGAAAAGGTTTAGCAAAGAGAATTGCTAGCTGGTAGCTCATTTATCAGTGACAGGTCAGACTTGCTGTCTTGTAAGGCCACAGTAGTCCCTGTTTCACTTAACTTCCTTTTTGCCTGGTTTTTATACTCTTCTTTTTGCCCAGTAAATGAAAAGTCTGTTGCTGTACCACTGAATAGTTTAGGCAGAGATGGAATTGCATGAAAGTAAGCAGGTTTTCGTTAGCCCTGAGGCTAGTCTTTACAGTAAGTTAGAAACTTCTGAATAAATTCTGATTTGTATCCTTCTGTTTCAAGTTGTAGTAGAATGCTACTCTAAGCAGTTTCTAATTTAATTTAAATATTTCCAACTGTTTCACCAACCCTTTCAGAATTGTAATGTCTGTATTTGATGTGACTTCAGCAGTTCAGAGGGCAGTTGAAATATGCTTTCCAATTACTCTAGGAAGCTTTACAAGATGATAACAAGCATTACAAGAAGGCAGTGCCTGTTCTTGGAGTTGAAATGTCTTAGACTAGAGTTAAATAAGCAAAGCTAACTTAAAAACCTCATGTAATTAATTCTAACTCTAGTAATTTGATAAAGGAGAAGAATCTTTTTCATTTTTTTAACCTTTTGCGCTTTGGAAAAATAAGTATTTTATTTTCTAGCAAAAGAATTTAGGGAAATACTTAATATAAAGAGTAATCAAGTCATAAACTAAACAATGGATTTTTTTTTTCTTTTGCAGCTTGTATATGAGTTTTTCATACGATTTTTGGAAAGCCAAGAATTTCAGCCCAGCATTGCCAAAAAGTACATAGATCAGAAATTTGTATTGCAGGTAAGCTGATCTGTTTTCTTTAAGGCTTCATGTTGCTTTTAAAAAAATTTTTTTTAAAAGATTTTGTTTAGAATTTGAAAGCGTAACTTTATTTGCAACAGAAAAAGGCTAAACAAGCATATACAATGAACGTTTTCAATCTACGGAGGTAGGGGAAATATGTGTGTGTGTTTGTATGTCAGTCTCTGTTGCTGTAGATATATAAAATAGTTGGTTTGGCTCCAGTTTTGATACCTTAATCAAAATATTTGACTTACTGGTTATGAGAGGGAGCTGAAACAGTAACTGTTAAAAAATGAAAGGTTTACTATCAAGTAGTCTAAAAATGTTGCTATCTAGCAAGACTACTTAAATGCCAGTTTTAATGCGTCTTAATATTGTTAAAATATTTCTGTTGGAAGGGGAGAGTATTTCTTCCTTCTGTCTCTGCTGGAGAGCTGGCAACGGGGGCAGAAGTTCATTAACAAACCCATTCTCAGCACAGTACTGAAAACAGTGATGCTGTAGTGGTTGGGGAAGAAGTAAATCACAAGGTCATATGAAGTTTAAGCTCTAATAAAAGCATGGAAGAAGAATTGGCATCAACAATAAATAACATTGCAAAGAATGGGTAGCTTTATTTTTGTAGTTTGCATGCCATCATTATGGCTAAATGGAAGAGATGGCCTCTGTCAATCGATCAGCTGGTAACCAGGTATTTTACATGTATTGCATCTGTCTCCTTCTTGTGTACAAGCTCGGCTTCTTGTGTGCTTCACTTGAAACTACAGTAATTGGTCTCCTCTACTGAGGAATTGTCATCCAGGCCTTGACAGATGCCAGAACAGGTAGCTGAAGGAAGATATTTTCTGGGATAAGCCAGGAAACTCCACATATATGACTTTTGTCTTCAGCTTTCGGGAACAGACCTGTCTTGTGTTTTCTGTTCCCATCATGAATTTTTGTATAACCGCAAAGTCAGAACGAATTTTGTGTTTAATGCTGTCTATAGCTTGCTTTTGAAATCAGGGAAATTTAGAAAGATTCCTCCTTAGAAAAGGGAGTTTCCTTCCAGGCTGAGACTTGAATAAAAGCCAAATTAGAAGTGGCAGGAGATACTCAGCATTTTTGAAGACCTTTCTCTCACCCCTTTGTCATGGAGCTTTTATTTTTCCCTGTAGTGCTCAGGCAATAAAAGTAGTGCTTTTGCAGTCCTTGTATGTTATTTGTATGAAGAATACATGAAAAATGTAGCAAAGAGAGCAATTTCTATCCTTAAATTCAAAGATTCAAAGAAGGGACTTCAGTTTCTTTCTTAACGTCACAAGACCTTCTTCACTCTACAAAAGCAATGGGATATACTTGTATTTTTATTTTATCCATCTTCTAAATACAAGAGTATTTTTCATCTGGATCAAACTTCTGTGGTGGAGTTTCCTTTTTGTTCGTTTAAATATTGATTTGAACAAGGGGGTGCACCAATCTGATGATCCAGTACTTGGTGGAGATGTAAGACTATGGGGGGGGTGGGTGTGTGTGTAATCACTCTTGACAGGTTTTTCCAGACCGATTTTATTTTCTTTAGATACAGCAGGATTGCATTAGAAGGAATGCTTGTGTTCTAATTCAAAATCTAGAGGAAATAATTCCTAGATGCTCCTGTTATGTGCTGCTGAACTTGGTCATGACAGGCAGCATCCCGCTCACTTATGCACTTTCAAGTTGTTCAAACCTGTTACAGTTTGGCACAGGAGAATGGGTCTAAAAGAAGGTTTTTGGGGTTTTTTTTTTTTTTTAAACCCGTTAGTCTTTATTAAATCTACTAAATGAAAGAATGGTGTCTACTGAAAGAGGGAAATAGATTTTAAAACCTACGTATCTGAAAATGTATGATACGACAATTAAGAGTTCAAAACAATTCTAAGAATTCGTAAGTTCTTGCCACATGGGTTAGGCGATGTGTTTTTATATATTGCTATGCACAGTATGTCAATTTAAAATTCACATTTTTCCATAAAAAATTCTGTTGAGCCTAATATATACATGAAAGTAGATATATTTCCCTGTGTATAAGTGTTTGTGTTTAGCCTGTAAGAACTGGGGTGTCCTTCCACTTACTGCTGTATTATTTGTTGTGTGTCTAGAGTAACTCCTAAGAATCTGTGACTACAGATCATTTACATAGGAAACCAGTTTAAGACTTAAGAACATGAAACATGTTTGGTGTTTCATGACACTGACAACACAAGTGTGACAGTCTTTGAAATCAGCTTTCTGTCTAAATTAATTTGGTTTGTTTTTTTTTTTTAAATTTGAGGAACTTTAATGAAGTGTTTCTTGGCAGTAAGAATGCCATTATGAAAAAATGATACAGTTTTTTTAATGTGCATTTTTCGAGCTTTTTCTTGTTTGCTTGCTTTTTGCTTTTGGTTTTTGGAATATAGATGTGTTTCTGGCTTTCAGCTGTATGTTTTGATAAAATGCTCTACTTAACAGTGTAACTGTTCATTTCTAAAGCCTGCTTATATACAGTCTGAAATGGTTGGCAGTGGTTGCTAAGAGACATACTATTCAAATATATCCACAAGTGTCTGTGTTATGTAGGTTGCTATTTTGGAAAAATTATTTCCCTTTTCTATGTTTAGTGTCAGTATAGTCACATAAATTATGGAAGTCTTGCAGCTTATCCATAAAAATAAGACTTTAAATTGCTGAAACCTGATAACAAATTGGACATATCAAAATAATTGTCTCTCTCTAAAAAAAAAAAAAAAGACTGAGTCTTAGTTCAGCAATGTTTCCACAGAGGATCTGTATAAGAGAACTGGAAATATAAATACTTCGCTCCTAAAAGCAATCCAATAAGAAAATTAAAAACCTAAGTGTTTCCAGCTGTTTGCTGTCTTTGGGTGAAATTTGCTATTTGGGGAAGGATGAGGTGACTATTTATTTATTTAACTGTAGAACTAATTGAACAAAGCAATGTGTTTATAACCTCTGGAGGGCAGCTGACAAACCTCATCGTTTCCTCATGAAATTCCCACCATAGATTCTTACTGCAAGGAAAGGACAGTGGGATCTCATTACAAGCTACAGAAACATCCAAAACAATGAAGAATACATACATCATTCCTAAATCTGGATGTTAGAAAGCAAAATCCCAGATAGTTTAACAACTTTTAATCATGTTTTTCTGTCTTTTTTTCTTTTCCACCTCCTCAAAGTTGTGTAGCAGTTTAACAGAGATCAGGCAGTATACATACACTGACATACCTACTTATAATAGGTATTTATCTATTTATGAATCCAAGATAATTTTCTGACAGCATCTTCTGTATTTGTAAGACCTCTTTGGCAAACTCTTCATTTCTCTTGCAAGATGGGTACTGGTTAGCAGTTACTTTCTTTTTTCAAGCAAGAGGGATACTGTTTGCTTATGATTACTACTTTAAACTTCTCTGTTTTCTGTGCATTGGAGGTAGGTAGGGTTTTTTGGGTTTTGGTTTTTTTGTTGGTTGGTTTTGATTTTAAATAATGTTTACCTTCTAACTTATTCCAAATGGCTGCCAGAATAACAAAAGTTGTGGTGTCAAAAAAGATGAAAAAGAAGGGGTAAGAGGAAGCTCATACTTTTGTGGTGGAGGATTCAAGGGGAATAGAACAAAGATCTGCAGGTGATATTCCTCCTGCTCATTTCATGCCTTAATTATTAGAGGCAACTTCAGGTGTCAGTGTTTTGAGATATATTTTGGACAATACAAGATACTGGATGGTAGGGTTTTTTGACTGAGTAGCACATAATCATTTTGCTGTTTTAAAATCTTATTTAAGAGTTAATTAGTAAAGGTGGGTTTTCTTTTGTTGTTTTTTTGTTTTGGTTTGGTTTTGGTTTTTTTTTAAACTGGATATTGAAGTTGCCATTTTGTTCAACCTGAGGGTTAATTCCCCCTGATGCTTTGATTTGTGTCGTTTGTTGGAGATCCTGTAACAGCAGATCCAGTACTGGCATAGATTTCACTGTTGAGTCTTTCTACAGCATGAAGGCCATGCAATCACTAGGAAGGCTTAAGAGCTCATAATATAAATTACAAGGAATTAGAAAAAACGTGACCTTGACGCAATGTTGTAGGAACAAAATATTAAAGCAAATGAGGATCTTTTAGTTCTGCAGAATGAAGGAATGGTGGATGGTAAGAGGCAAACTGTCTTATTTTGTAGATATGACAGCACCTAAGAATATATATTATTTATTTTTGTGGAGAAGGAAGGCAGCATTTTGGAGCCAGTTAATCAAAAGTTTATTAGTTGTTTGAAGATTTCCAAAGTTTTGTTATGTCAGAAGTGGAAATTAATAAACTGAGTTTTGTGATGTTGTACTGGGATTACAACAGATTTTTTAATAATGTATTTCTACACCTTGGATAACATGGATATCACATTCTTACATGCATGTGCTTTCATGAATTTAACTTCTGTATAGAAGTCTGTGTCATACTTGTCAAATGTCTACTGTTTCAGTTCTCTTTTTCCTTTAAACACAGCTGTTGGAGCTGTTTGACAGCGAAGACCCTCGAGAACGAGACTACCTAAAAACAGTCTTGCACAGAATTTATGGCAAGTTTCTGGGTCTTAGAGCATTTATCCGAAAACAGATTAATAATATTTTTCTACGGTAAGTTGTGGAAGAAGGTACTTTTTGCTTATGAACATTTTAGGAAACTGATATATTACTTATATTTAACTTTTCTTTTTTTAGATTTGTTTATGAAACTGAACACTTCAATGGCGTAGCTGAACTGTTGGAAATTTTAGGAAGGTAAATGAGTCTTTACTTATTATCTATCTCAAACTTCCCTTCTGGACATGTCACAATAGTGTCGGATTCGGAAAAAGTATTACTATAAGCCCTGATTCTGAAAACAGATGTGCGCACATGCTCATCTTTAAGCCCATGTGCAAATCTCTGTCACATCTTTGCCAAGAGTATATAACTGGATACAAGTTACAGCCGAAAGTGTTGGATTGATTTTGTGTGTGTGTATGTGTGTGTTAAATTTTGCGTACTTCATCCTTACATGCTGCAGAAATTATTTTTTTGAGCACACTAACTGTGAATATTTTGAGTAAATCTAACTCTGGCAAGTTAATTACTCAAGAACACCTTGCTTATATGAATTTACAGACCACATAGACAAGGTCTTATCTGTTTGGCAACCGGTTTCTGCAGCTGTTTATATGATTATCCCTAAATCGGAGCTGAATTGCTACCTAGATATGTACTGCACTGCTAATATAAAGCACAACAAAAGTCAGCACCTGTTTACAAATGGCGTGAGCCTGCTATTTGTAAACAGGTGCTGACTGCTAAATTATTTTAATCTAGAAAGTGCTTGTTCAGACCTCAAGAACGTTTTCTGTGATGATAACACTAACAAATATTTTTCTTCTAATTTCTAGTATTATCAATGGTTTTGCTTTACCTCTGAAGGCAGAGCATAAACAGTTTCTGGTGAAGGTGCTGATCCCTTTGCATACTGTCAGGAGTTTATCACTCTTCCACGCACAGGTAGAAATTATAAAAATATTTTCTGCTCAGTTAGAATGATTTATTTTTTAAAAAAATTGCTTTGGAAATTTAATTGCATAGCACATAAAAGGTGGGGGTAAAGTTTTGAAATGTGGAAAAAGTGCAATAGATTTTTTAAAAAAATTAATTTAATGTGCTTTGTATGATAAATGTCTTGCTTCTGATTAGATAATTAAAAGTGTAACATAATATTTTGGGGGTTTTGTGTAGTAGTTAAACTCTCTGTTTAGGTTTTCTTCTCTGCTGCTTTCTCACTCTCACAAGTTTGCCTTTCCAATTCCCTCTCCCAAGAGAATGTTTGGGTTTCCTTAGTCTTGTGCTGTCAAGGCTTTTCTTCATCCTGGCAACTTTCTGAATACTAATACCCACATTTTTGCATAATCTTTAACATTCTCCCTCAAGATTTCTTAATACTGCATTTATGCTCTCATATATCTTTTTATACAGTAAGGTTTCATGACGTAATTTTTCCTCTGATAAGTGATACCTGTTGCCTTTCTCTCTGATTTTCAGATAGTGCAGTCTTTCTTATGCTGATAAAGCTATGGTTTCTAAATATGTTATTCCAGGTTTTAGCTGTGTTGGCTCATCTTGCAAGAGCTTTCATGATTTTGCCGATGTATAAAATGTGTAAAAAGATGCAGTTTCAGAGAGTAACAGAAGCTTCAAAACATTGGTTGTATGACTGTATTTAGAATTCCACGTTGCTCTGATTTTTGTTATATATGCTACTTCATCACCCTAATTTTTTTGTAATGTGTTCTGTTGTTTCTTATGAACTGAACTTTGAGTGGATTTGCACAGTGCAAACTGTGCATCTCAGTTCAAAATTGGATGCAATTTAAGAAAGCTCTATAGCATCTTGCCTTGAGTCTCTCTCTTTTAAAAAAATTGTTTCTTTGTGGTTTCTTTATAGAAATGTTCTAACTTCATTTTCTTAAATCTTTACTGCTTCACAGCTGGCGTATTGCATAGTACAGTTTCTGGAGAAAGACCCTTCACTCACAGAACCGGTAAATATTTCTTTCATACTTTTTCTTTTTTTTGCATCATAACTGGCTTTCCCTGTTGAGAGAAAAGTAAAAAAATAAACTTTTTTTTCCTTCTAATTTAGGTCATTAGAGGTTTAATGAAATTCTGGCCAAAAACCTGCAGTCAGAAAGAGGTAAGTGTTACTAGTAGATAGCTGGTAATAACAAAACATAAGAGTTATTTTGTTCTACAATATAATAGGCAAGGAATCTTTAGATATTTCCAGGTAGGTAGCACATGCTGTGGTGGAACTTGGTATTAATTCTTGTAGGTGATTTTCCATATTTGAATTCTGTTTTCTTGGACGGTTTTGATTATGAAGATAAAAGCTTGATAACCATGGTTTCTATTCACAAAATAAGCACTGGTTCTTCTGCAGAGATTTTCTTTTTGTTTTAGAAAGGAGAAAATAAACATTGTTTAGGACAGATTGGAAAACACTGTTAGATTTGGAGTTGTTTATGTGTGAGGATAGTATTTTTCCAGGGAAGATGAAAGATATTTTATTGTCTGGTGTTTACCTACTAAACAGGTAAAAGAAGCAGTTAGACCTTTGCATTTTTATTTCAAATTCTTGATGCAAATCTGAGTTTCCCTAATGAGATTTTGTGACACAGCAAAACCATTACTTTGAATATTACTTCAAAAAATGAGGTAAAATCAAGAGACTCTCCATAGTTAACAAAGTTTAAGGCTTGGCCAAATCCTTTGTCTGTATGAGGCCAGGTTTTCAGCACGGATATACTGGTGCAGTTCTGAATTTTGTTGTAAAGGACTACTTTAAATACAGCATTTGCACACACTTGTCCTCCTTCTTTTAAGAGACTGAATCCAGAAGCTGCTACAGGTAGAACATTTTTTGAGAGAGGGTCTTGCAGAGCTAGTGAGGCTTCCATTTCGCCCTGAAGTAGAATTTGAGGGTTACCAGTATTTTGCTGATCAAGATGATTCAGAGGTTTTATATTCAATGCTTCCTTCTTTGTCTTTAGGTCATGTTCCTAGGAGAGCTGGAGGAAATCTTGGATGTAATCGAACCATCACAATTTGTTAAAATCCAGGAACCCTTGTTTAAACAAATTGCCAAGTGTGTCTCTAGCCCTCATTTTCAGGTCAGTGGTAGAGGTTATTGTTTGTATAGGAATGTACAGTCTCAATTTCAAACATAACACCCCCCAAATGTAAATATTATTTTACGTTATGTGGTTTTAAATACTTGTCTTCTGGATTTCTACGGAAGAGGGTATGTTGCAGTGGAAGTTTAGTTCTGAGCTCCATGAATAACTTGTTAGACATATCCGGGGTTTCAGCACAGAAGTTGCTGCTCTGAGCCACCTAAGGCCTTAAACTGTATCCAAGCAGACTTTGAGCCCTTCTGACTGTAGGTGACGGGTACTTACCATATGGCCTTCAGATTGACAGACCATATAGGATGTATTTGCTCCCGTTTTTAGCGTGGTGGTGTGCAGCATTCATGTTTTCCTACTTCCTTCTGTAAGCAGATGTCTGGTCAGAGGTGATAGAACCCATAGTCTGTTTTCTTCACATTGCATAATGGGAAGAAAGGAAGTGAATAGGATTTAAATTGAATCATATATGAAGAGGAGAAAGGATTCGTGGCCTGTTGTGTCTCAATATTAAGCTAGCTATTGTGGCACAAAGGCAGATGTGACTGTTTTCAGCTCTTCCTTGGACTACATTTGTTTCCAGCATAATTTAGATCAGTGTTTTCCCTCCTACCACCCCCCCAGCTCCTCCCCAAGGTGATTATTATCATTGGTACCTTCCCCACACTTATGATCTCTCCCCCTTATTCAGCTCAGCTACTGGGCCTTTTCCTGTCTCCTTCCTCCAGTATCCCAGTACTGCTCTCTCCCTTCTGACTGCAGTCGCAGGATTGAGGGAAAGGGGTGATGGGAAGTCTGTCTGCTCTCCCTTCCCCTGCACAGCTGCAGCATTAATGCAGTGTCTGCACCTGGTCTTCAGCGAGTAACAACATACCACTCGGGGAAAGAGAGAGTGGATGCTGTGGGATCTGAATTATAGCATAAAAACTTAATGCCATTAAGGCATGTTATGCTGCTGATTAGAGTTTTAATTTCAAAGGTAATGATTCCTGTTAATTCATCTTTGTGAAATTTCTCTGTGATTTGTTTTTCCTTCAGAAGATTACAAAATTATAGGTATCTGAATTCCTGTTAATATTTTATTCCTTTGACTCAAAGGTGGCCGAAAGAGCACTGTATTATTGGAATAACGAATACATCATGAGTTTGATAGAGGAGAATTCAAATGTTATACTTCCCATCATGTTTTCCAGCCTTTATAGGATTTCTAAAGAACACTGGAATCCGTAAGTTCTTACCATTACACTTGATCTTACCTTTTGACATATCACTGATAAACTTAGGGAATGTCTGCTGAAGAACACCTGAACAAACGGGAGAGATCCAAATTCAAAGCTGCCATGAGCAGGTGCAACTCTGTTAATGCCAATATATATTAGTCTGTACTTGAGCTTGTCTCAAAATGTTTTTAATTATCTGGTATGTGTACAAAAATCAGTACTTTATGGGATAAAAATAGATCTCACGAGTTGGAAAAAAGAGAAATTAGATGTTACATTGTTATTGAAGAAAAAGTGTTGCTCATCAAGCATTTCTCCTACACACCTACACAGTTTTTTATGAACTCATTAACGTCTTAAGCCTGATCACAAATTGTCTAGAAGAATATTGCTTGGCACTAATAAATCTTTGTGGCTGTATCATGGATGATACTGATACCTCTGGCAGACCTCTGGTACTAGCGTTTTTCTAAACATCTAAGAAGCATATAGACATCCGTATATTCTTAGCTTGAGCTGGTTTTTCTAAGTTGAAATAAATACAGCTGTTCCTGTATTATGCACAGTAATAGAGTAATTGCTTCATAGAGATATCATGTTAATTTGGAATTTTTATTTCTAAACTGAATAACCTAGTAGAAAGTGTTTTAATGGAAGATACTGTTACAGTTAGATGCCATGTATTCTACACTTTAGTTGAAAAGTTTTTTTAAGTCAAAGTGGTTACCATTTTAGTAAACCGAACATTTTTAATGATCTGTGCTACATTCAGGTCCCAGTTGCTTTAAGACCCTACTGTAAAGTATTTCTAAAATATTTCCTCTTTTAAAACACTAGTCTTTTTGTTCTGTGTTTAGCCAAACCTCAACTTTGTGTGCTTTCATGACAAATCTAATGCTACTGGAAAGCTTTTGTAATTAACGCTCATCACAAAAAGACACTTTCCATGGTGTAGTACCACATCACTAGTCTCCAACCTGCCCGTGCTCCTGCCCAGCCTTTTATACTATGCACTGGGATGCTTCTGGTAATGAGAGTATTCCAGTATCCCAGTTCTCAGAGTTCTCATACCCACAGGAATGTTGTACCTTTGACACACAAGCCAGGTTAAGATACATGTAAAACAAAGAAGGTATTTAAAGAATTTTTATATTCATAAGAACGTTTTTAAATGCAGGCAACAAAAATGAAAGTTTTATTGAAAGAGGTGAATGATAGATGGGGGGAGCGTGGGAAATGGTGCATAGTTTGTTTGCTATGTAGGTTTGCTCCAAAGGTTCCTGGCACCTGTAATTTTGATACACTGCCTCCTGGCTGAAGAGCTGTTTCTTAAGCAACCCCATGTCTGTATATGACAACCATTGTAGTGGATCAGGAACTGGGATCTCTTTGATAGATAATCTATTCCAAATTATTTGAAAATTTTTTAGATTTGTTTCTTTCCTTTCTCCCTTTTCAGTTGCTTTGTTGTTTCTTTACCTTCAACTCTGCCACAAAGGAATTTTGACCTCTAGATAATCAGACTGTTGGCAGACCCATCTTACTTGGGAAATTCTAGTATATTTTAGGTTAGTTATCCAGTCAGATGATATAAAAGAGTAAACTCACTCTACGTTTTTTGAGCCTTTGTGGGACAGAATGCCTTTGAAGCCTTTTTGAAATAATTATTGTTATACACAATTTTTTCCTGTATGAACAGATCATGCCTGTCATGTTTTACACAGTTAAGCAACTTGAATTCAAATAAGCAGTGGTGTATTGGTTCTTGCGTAAGGTCAGGAATAGGAATAAGCAAAGTAGGCAGACGTTTATAGAGATATGTCTACAGATACTATATATATTTTATACATATATATTTTATATATATATATACACACACACACGCACACAGAGTTTTACACAGATACTGCAGCACTTATCTGAAGGACTTGTGGGTTTTTTAAGAGTTTTTTGCTGTACCAAAATGAAAATGAATGTGAAATGTATGAGTACAAGGAAATCACTCTTGAAATACAGCCTTGTCTTTTGCATAGATGCACTGAATATTCAGCTTCATAGAAAAATCATAAGGAAATATGAATCACTCCCATTTCATGTTTGAATTCTATTCCTTCTGCCAGCACTGATGATTTGAATCCCTGGAGTTGCATTCAAAATTGCACTACAGCATGAGGGAAGAGTCTGTAGTTACATGTAATAGCTTTCTGTTGTTACCTTTTACCCTAGAGTTTTGGTTTGCTCCATTTAAGTAGTCAGTAGAGACGTGAAAGCTATTCTCACCTTTAAATATGTTAATCAAAAGTAGTTTCACTGAAATCAAAGAATTTACATTATCATACTTGCAAGAGCAGAATTGGTTGCAGAAGTGCTGGTAAGAGAAGACACTTTTATTTCATGTTTGATTTCACTTGAAACTAATAGATTCCTTTCTTTTTTCTTTTTAAATGTTTCACAGGGCTATTGTGGCTTTAGTCTACAATGTGTTGAAGGCATTTATGGAAATGAACAGCACCATGTTTGATGAGCTGACAGCCACTTACAAGTCAGATCGTCAGCGGTAACTTTTTAAAGCTTTTTTTGTCAGCGTGTATAAGGCCTGCTGTTTAGTTTTTCCCTTACACTCAGGTGCAATTGTGTAGTCTCACACATAATAGATATAATGCCTTATTTTCCCCCCTGCAAGATGTAAGCTAGTATCATGTACAGGTTGTTCTTTACTCCTTATGAAATACAGTATCCATTGCATTGCTTGGGAATCTGCATTCCTCATGGAATTCCTTTTGATGCCATATTCCAAAAGACTTAAATGTATCAAGATATTTAATAATAAAAGAAAAACAAGGGTTTAAAGATAACACTTTGCTTACAGACTTCAAAAAAGTCTCACTGAAGTTTGGGAAGAGACGTGAGGGAAAACCCTAAGATTTGATTTTCTAAACTACTGTTCTTAGGTTAGATGTGGTCTTAAAGCAAAGAGGCATCTCTCAATCCTTTTATTTCTTATTCAGTAGCTGAGTGTTTTAGCATGCAGGATCCTTAGATACACCGTTCATACAATCATTCGTTCCACCCTAGTAAAATGCTTTTTGTCTTTTCTCCTATTTTCCTTAATCTTTGTTTTCCAATTATAGTGCAGCATCTTTTCTCAAAAGTTTCAGCTTATCCAAAGCATCAGGTGAAAAAAATGAGGAAACTTCAGGAACTCTGAACAGTTTGAAACTTCGTTTAAGTTATACCTTTTCTGTGACTCAGGGTTCCCCCCAAGCAAACCAAAGGGTACTGTATGACATCAGACCTTGTTAGGTTAGTATAGTCTCTAAAGGCTCCTGGGGACCATACTTTTTGAATTGTGTGACTGGAGCCACACTGTCCTTTTGTTCCACTTCACTGTTGTAAAAATACAAAGTTTTATACACAAAAAATCTGCAACTGAAAGGTTAGTTCATTAATACAGCATTTTACTTTTAAAGACTTAGATCTATAATTGAGCTAAGATTTTAGATGAATTCTGGGTAGGTGTTGATAAATAAGGCTCAATCTGCTAGGGCAGCTGAGACAACACTGCCTGGTTTTCTAGCAGGAAAGGCAGAGAATCTTAGGGCTGGTCATCTAATCCATTTACTAAGGGACCTCAAGTGACTTAAATCAATTTGCAATTGCACTTTGCCCCTTAAGATGAGGCACTCTGCTCTTAACAGGACCACACAGTGTAGTAGTATGTCCCGTGTCTGGATCATGTGTAAGGTTTATTGACTGAACTGCACAAATAATTTTTCTTAAACCTACTAGACGTTGTATCTCCTGTCAAGGCTGGTGCTAACCATTTCACCATTTTTATTTACTACTTATCATTTTAAAACATTTAAATACCTGAATGTATAAACTGGGATATTTACCTTAATGTTTACAGAAAATCTTTAGTATCTTAATAGAACCTCTTTTCAAAAGGGTAGCTTTGATATCACTTAAAGCTTGAGGAGAAATATGCTCAATATTAATGACTACGATAGGTCAAATAGGTAAGTTGGATGAGGTGATCATCCACTAACAGTCTTTTAGGTAGGCAGGCATATATTTCAAAATGATTAGAAGAGAAATACCTGGTAAGTAGCCTGAAAATATTAGGCTATTTCACTTATTCTTATATTTAATTTTAAATCTTTCAAGTGACAGTAAGGTCCTTTTTTTAAACCTGTTCTTCAAGGGTTTATGTGAAAGTTGTTTGTATTCTTTTGTATGTTTAAAATACTCTTGGGAAATTAAAATTTCAAATAAGTGAGCCAGATGTTGGTACTTTGACCAAATCAAGATGTGTAGGAATGTTTCTAATCTGCTGAAATATTTTTCAAGAATTCTCTATTGTGACTGGCAGGGAATCTGTATCTCTATAACTGTTAGATTTCCATCTCATCTGAACCTACAAGGTGATGTAATAGAAATTGAAAGCATTGTGTACTTTGCAGTATCAAGGAGATTTATTCAAAGTAAGCTATGGCAGAGGCAGGAAATTTAGAAAGCAAATAATGCAGGTAAAGTAAATGTTAGGTTAGCTTTTAATTTTATCAAATCAGCTGTTAAAGTCTGTTGTTAAAGCAAATGCTACATAGCTTTTGTAGGAATTTGGTAAGGAAAAAGAGTGAATCACTGAACAAAAGGCATGTCTTGTAGCTTGTACTTTCTCTTGGCTAGTACCTAAGCCATATTAAAGCCACCAGTCAATCTAAGTAAGAACAGTGATTCTAAAAGAATAAAGGAATGCTTGTTCTAGAAAGTGGCTGTTATTTATAAGATTAAAAAATACCTTGCTTAAATAAATAAACTTGAAAATAATTAAATGCAAGTTATTCCTGCAATGTTAATTTTTATCATCATTGTATATTTGTTCCATAATAAGTCCCCTGCATTTTTTTTCTGCTGCATTACAAATTAGTGTCTATGAACACTGTCGCTTTGTTCAGCTTATGTTTTATGTTCTTTTCATACTGCTTTGTTTAGTGATACTTATGTAGGTAAGGAAAAGCAAAAAAAAAAAGAAATTATTTTTAAAAATGAGATATATGTTAGGAAAATGGCAGTTGTGTTCAACAAAATTAGTCCTGGTAATTAATGTCAACTATATATATTTATTTAACATAAATATTCTACAGTCTTCTCTCCTGCTAACTCTTTGTTTTATTTCATCTGTCAGTGAGAAGAAGAAAGAGAAAGAGCGTGAAGAACTGTGGAAAAAACTGGAGGATTTGGAATTAAAGAGAGGTCTTAGACGTGATGGAATAATTCCAACTTAACAAAAAAACAAAACAGCATTATTAACCTGTGGAGTCACACATTTATGTAGTAGAAGATGGAGCAACAGTTTTCTGTATTGTGCAACTTTACAGTAGATTTCACATTTGTTTCATTATTACAACAGCACTGTATATACCTGTCTCTAAGTAAAGGAAAAAAATAAGGACTTTAATCCAAAGTTTGGACAGCAGATGGACTTCTCAGAACTTTGCAAACATAATCATTGTTTTAACCCTTCTTTAAAACCAGTCTTCAAAGATCTGTTGATGAAAATTGCGATGTCAAATTCCATTGTCAAGACCTGTTCCTTATTTATCGTTAGCAGAGAGTATAATACAACTTTCAAATGTGAACAATCTTAAAATTTAGCTTGTCTTTCTGCTAAACTGTTAAGTGTATTTATAGTAAAAGAGAAAAAAGACTGTCATTTCCTTATGAGTTTGTGTAACATCCTCCTTCTCTGGATAACTTTACTGTAATTTGACTTTTTTTCCTTTTGCACATCTTCATAAGTTGAATGTCCATTCAGATCAGGGCCATGAAAAACATAGGTCCTGAATAAAAGTTTTGTTTACTGGTGTGAGCATTTTTTTAGTACCAGGCTGTCTCTGGTGCTTCCTTAATTTGAACATTAGGAGTTAAAAAACAAGTAGGTGATAAACATAGTAGGAAAGGGAGCTGTGGATTCATGCACCTATTTATTGCAAATCCAAATTAGTGTCCGCAATCCTTTAAAAATGGGCAGTGGTAACACCCTGGACTTCAGTACCTAACCAGTATTAGTGATATGACATTGGACACACATACTGGAGTGGTTTTAGAAATACTAATTGCTAAATTATTACAGTATGTTTTTATTGGACCATTTTGAAAGAATAAAGACAAACGCTAAACAGTGCAAGCATAAAATTGCTCTCCAGTGGTCATGGATCTAATTGGAAATTGAGTTGAGATAGCAGTTTGGACTGTTTGGAGTTGTTGCCTTACTTTTTAATATGTATTTATAAAGTGTTCCAGCAAAAGAGGATGTAGCCTCTAAGAAACATACTATAGTGTTTTTGTGGTTCTAGTACTATTACTCATCACAGTACCAGCCCTATGGTCTTAGCTGGAAAGGATTCTGGATAATATACTTCTGCATTCTCATCTGGATGCTCATTCCTAACTACTGTATTTGTTACCAAAAGTGGTTCTACAAATGCTACTGAAAAAATTCTGGAAATCCTAATGTTCTGAGTATTAATAATAAAGTTTAAAATGCTTTTATATCAAAGGTGCATTGTGACCAAATTGTTTAAAACAAAAGAAAAAAAATATACAAAAACAAAGGAGAGGGCTGTATTATAAGTATACATTATTGGCTATCTGCTTTGTATTTGAAAGTGGAATCTTACATCTTTGGTAGGTAAAATGCTGATAAGACTTATGTACAGTATATATTTAGCTAATGCAGTTGCATTATTATATACCGAAAGGTATGTGTTTCAGGATTTTTCTCCAGGATGCTTTTGAACTGTTATAGACATATGACAACAGTGAATTGATAATCCTAAACCATCAATCCAGCAGTATTTACAGTATAAAACTGAATTGGTGTTCATGAGTCTTTGTGATAGTTGCAAACATGAATTTATGACCTGTTGCCATTGATAGAAATAACAGTATAAATACAAGCTTGTATATTTTTCTTCCTACCATTTAAATATGCAGTAGGATTTGAAGTTTTCTTGTTTTCAGGCATGGAAAAGAGGTAAAAAGGAATTCCCTCCTAGACTACTGACTGTTTCAGGATTATCAGGTCACAGTTTGTACTCCTGCATCTGCGCACACAAATGTTGTAAACTCAACGATTTTGTAAAAACTTGACACTGTTAATTCTGGAAAAAAAAGTGGAACTAGTCATATGCAACACCAAACACAACATGGTTTAGTGGGGTTAATATGAGCTTCTTTTAAGAACACTGACTGGGACGCAATGTAAATTAGGCAGTTACTGTCATAGTTGAAACATTTTATTTTAAAGTGCTGAAGCAAAGGTGCAAGCTGAAATACTGAAGATTAAATAAATTTATAACAAATCATGTCCCTTAGCCCATTGATTTTGACAGTCTTTTATTTCTGTTACCAAAAAAATACTTGCTAGTGTGATTTCTGTGTGAAATGATCATGCTTTACAAGAGGGTGGACTTAAACTCATGCTCAAAGACTATGTTCAATTGTGAAAAACTGAGATAGAATGGAGGAAAAAAGATTAATGTTTTCCACCTGGTGGAGTAAAACACAACAATGTGAAATTAGAAAAAGCACCTTGTCCTGTACTTAGAGTTTAGGTGAGTGTTGTTTGTTCATAACTATTTTTGGTTTTGACATGACATTCTGGTATTGATCATACAAAACTGATGAGAACCTGATGGGTTGCAATATTTTGTTACCTCTGATGTTACCTCTGATGTGGGGATAGTGGGGAGTATCTAAAGTTTATAGATGATTTATCACTTCCAAGAAGGAATGTTTCTTTAAGGTGAATGAGACGGTGTGATATTAGTCACTTGACTCTAAAAGGCTGATACGACACTAGGTTGCACTGTGCGATGTACGTGAAGAAGCACTTGCCACAATGATACGACCGTACCCCCGGGATCCACTGTTTGCCGCAATCCAAATGTGATGTCCTGCCACCCTGCAGATCTCCCATTGGTATCAATTGGAGTTGTAGGCAAAGAAGAAGGCAGCGTATGGGCCCAAGTGTGATCAGTGCGTCTATTTAATTATGCTTTCGTTTGCTTCTTGAGTTCCAGAAACTACCTTTATTTGTGTAAATGTTTTTATTAACTGCTCGTACAGCAGTTGTTGGGTGGCCGCTCGTGTCCTGTACCATATTGGTTTCAGGAGAAAGGATTGAATGGTCTCTGCTAAAAGGAAAGAGCTGCATTTTCAGTACTAGGGCATTGCATCAGGTCATGGGGATATAACAACTGTAAAAGTAAAGTTCCACTCACATACTTTAAATTGAGCACACATTGCTTTCTTCATCTTGCAAGTCTCCCTTACTGTTTTCCTTTCATTGCTTTTGAGTGTTTTTTGTCTCTCTTCCAAAGGTTGGAATGCTTTAAATAAAAGTATTCTAATGCCATTGGAGCATTCACTAGCAGGGTTACAGTAAATTTAATCTTGGTTTTGTTAGCATAAATAAAAGGATTTAATTTATTTTTTTATCTCCTATATATGGAAAAATCGAGGGTGTTAGAGCCAAGAATTGCTTGAGTAAGAAATGCAGCAGCTGTACTTACATTATATGTGTGTAAGTACAGCCTCAGGCTCTCTCACTCTATGGAAAGGAAAATATATTAGGAGCTTTAAAAAACTTCATTGTTTTGTGAGGAGGGGGAAAGACTAGGTTTTTCTCCCCCACAATAAAACTGAAATAATTTGCTTTTACTTCTGTCCTGGGGAACAAAGATGGCCTTTTCTCTTAATTGTGTAACAATATCATCCCAAAGCAGTTGCCCTAAAACAAGACAAAGGTGACAGTGCGCAAGATTGAAGAATGTTTTTATTTACACGTGGCTTTTTTATTTTGGCTCACCTGCTACCCTTAGCAGCTCTGTAGTGAGCCACGAATTAGTTTTTGTAGTTGATATGTGCAGCAGATTTTGTATAGCCCAGTTTTCCGTTTTGAAGTCTATGAAATAGTATCTTGAAACAGAATGGAACTAATTTTGATTGAAAACTTATCCAAGTGTTGCTTCCCATCCACAGAAGCATACACTTTTTATCATGACCTCTCTGAATACAAGTTTTTGTTATTTGGATCACTTACTGTAAATATGTTGTATTCATAACCTCATGCAATGATGAGGAGTTTTCAAATATAAATAGTACCGATACATTTCTTGTTGTTGTCCTATTTTTGATTGTAGTATAGCAAATGACCTGTCATGCTTTTTGTTTCAAGGTTAGCATTAGATTCATAGATCTTAATATTTTAGCATTTCATTGTTTAAGCAGGAGAGGGCAGCAAAAGTTCATTTTTCCCCATAGGAATGCTCTGGTCCATTACTGTTTTTAAACTTAGATGCATTTAACTATCTGTGGGTAGGGGGGAAAATGAAACGTTTTTTATATATATTAAAAGGTGCATATGAAAATATATAGACTGGTCCAACCAGACTGTGAAAATGTCTTCTACTTTACATCAAAATAATAATAAAAGAAAAATACCTTCCACCTCTGGATATAAAGTACAAGCAGTTCTTAAGCTCTTGGATTCAAATGTCATTCTTTGGAAATAGTTTACTTTCTTAAAAATGGTATCAAAGCAACTCAAACTCAATGGTGCTCCCAGCTATAAATGTGTAATCCTCCTCTTTTGCACATGCTCAAGAGGCTCTGTACTGTGGGTGCATCTAAATAAAGAAGCAATGAAGTGTTTTCCAGGTGCTTGCCTTTTTTTTCCACCTCGTCCCATCTAAACTTCATGTACCTTTTCAATAGTGAACTTCCCGCAATCAGATATCCATTTGCATCAATTAAATGTAAGGATACGTGTCTAAGAAAATAACACCCAAACAGTGAGGTGGCAATTTAAGTTTCTGCCAGAATTACTGTAGTAAACGCTTAGTTTTCATTAAGGTTTTTTTTTTTTTTTTAAAGGTCCTCTCATGATGATGAGCATCCTCGTACTGCACACAAGCACGCCTGTGAGGGAGGTAAAGAGCAGTGGATGCAGAAAACGGACGTTAGAGGCACACAGTGTTCTTTATAAACCCTTTGAGCCTTACACCTTGCAGCTGGTGAAGGAGCTTGTTCTTTTATAGCATCGTTCTACTGTTTCAGTCCTTGTACTACTCTGCCTTGCAGTTTGGAAGTGAGGGCAAGGCTTAAGAAGGTTACGTACGTGGGAAGCACCCTCTGGAGAGAGCCATGGATAGAGCCTGGTAAGGGGTAGTGCTGGTGAACGGCTTTAGCAGAAGCGCAGTAGATACGGATGCTGCAATAAAACTGGAGGCAAGATGTATCAAACATCTACTTCTGATGTTAAAGTGTCAGTTTCCTACGTGAATTATTCTAGTAGTCTAATTCTTAAAAATTCTTTCCATTTCGATTTTTTCCAAATGAAATTTTCAACACTTGGATCTTGCATGCCTCTGTTAGAAGAGCTCATTATCTCAAATCTCTCTAAATACTTGTAAGACAATATTCAGATCACTTAACAGCCTCATGTCCCTTTACTTTCTTATTGCAAGGCAAGTATGTTCCAAAGAAGTTAGAAAAAATGAGAACACGCAGGAAGTCAGCCTTCAGGGTAGGATTTGTCTTCAGTGCTTGCAAGTTAGAAAACAACCTTTAAAGGATTGGAATTAAAAACTGAAATTAGTTTCCTAGTTTTGGTAATGATAGTTGCTTTGCTAATTTTCAGTCTTTGTCTTTCCTTCTTGGGAATGTTTTGGTTTCTCATATAATAGCAGAGTGCCTAGTTTATCTCAAGTTTGGACCCCACATCACAAGTCCGTGACCTACAAAAGTAGGTTTGTGTGCAGGTAAAGGCCGTTCCCAAGTCTGTATTCAATTATTGCTTCAATGTGCAGTAAAGTAATAGCTTGGGTATTAAACTAGAAACTGATACAAGGTCTTGCATTATGAGTTCAGATCTCTCTATAGTTTTAGAGATTAATTGCTGAAGCCAAAGCAAATATCCTGAATTTGTTGATAAACACCTTGAAAGAAAGTGTACTAATCCACTGTGAGCAGTGACTGCAGGCTTTTCTGGAAGTCTCCATCACATGAAAAATTGTCATACTGAAACTTTCTTTTACTATTTTTCTGTTTGGTTCCACCCCTGCCGATTCATTTTGTGTATTCAGTACTTTCCCCTCCCTGAAATTACTGAAGGTGTGAGAAGTTAGGGATCTCTCAGGAAGGATGGAAAGCTTGCGATACATTTGAAGAAAAGCATATTTTGTATTGCTGGACAGTGGCTCATGCCTTTGATACACACTTGAAAAACGTCTGGGAACTTGTCTTGCGTTATCCCTGAATCTGGGAAGGCCTTCCAAAAAGAGAATGAGAGGGGTATTCTATACAGCTTCTGAATCTTGTCTCTGAAATTCTTACTTTGTCACTGCCTGGGACAAGTTTTTGCTTGTGTACAGAGCCTCTGTGCTTCACCGACAGAGCAAGCAGCAACCCAAGAGACAGTATTTGTAGAGCATCTGGTGGGTGCGGAGCGGTGCGCTGGGGGTGTGCGTGCCCACCTGCCAGCCAAAGCAGGAG